TTGTTGATCTCACTATCTGGGAAGGGCATTTAAGGTAGCCTTTCCGGTTGCCCAAATTATTAGTTGGTGTCAGTCTTGTAAGGCTCTAGACCTTTCTTAGGGTTCAGTTTTCTCATCAAAACAATAATGGCTCCATCTTTTATGTTCTCTCTCTTTCTCACTCTCTCTCTCTCCTCTATCTTCCTAATCGCATATGGTTTCCTCTCCTCCCCTTCTCTTTCTCCTACTTCTCTCTCCATTCACTGCACTCCCACTTCCTATGTGCTCTGGGAGACTTGTCCCTTCCCCCTTCTGTAAGGGACTGCATATGAATCTCTTAGAATACACTTTGTATCCTAGTTCTTCTGGTGGTGTGAATTGTAGGCTGGTGATCCTTTGCTCTAGGTCTAAAATCCATATATGAGTGAGTACATACCATATTCCCCTTTTTGTGACTGGGTTACCTCATTCAGGATGGTTTCTTCAAGTGCCATCCACTTGCCTGTAATTTCAAGATACCATTATTTTTTTTCTGCAGAGTACTATTCCATTGTATAGATGTGCCACATCTTCATTAACCATTCTTCAATTGAGGGGCATCTAGGTTGCTTCCAGGTTCTTGCTATTACAAATAGTGCTACTATGAACATAGTTGAACAGATGTCTTTGTTGCATGGATGTGAATCCTACCAGGGAACTCCTACAGCTGACAAACACCTTCAGAAAACTAGCAGGATACTAGGTAAACTCAAAAAAATCAGTAGCCCTACTTTTTTCACACAACAAAGAGGCAGAGAAAGAAATCAGAGAAACTTCACCCTTTACAATAGCCACAAGCAACATAAAGTATCTTGGTGTAACACTTACCAAACAAGTAAAAGACCTATATAATAAGAACTTTGTGACTCTAAAGAAAGAATTAAAGAAGATACCAGAAAATGGAAAGATCTCCCATGCTCTTGGTTAGGTAGGATTAACATAGTAAAAAAATGGCAATCTTACCAAAACCAATCTACAGATTCAATGCAATCCCCATTAAAATCCCACCACAATTCTTCACTGACCTTGGAAGAATAATAATCAACTATATATGGCAAAACAAAAGACCCAGGATAGCCAAAACAACCCTATACAATAAAAGAACTTCAGGAGGCTTCACCATTCCTGACTTTAAGCTCTACTACAGAGCTATAGTTCCGAAAACAGCCTGGTATTGGCATAAAAATAGACAGGTAGACCAATGGAATCGAATTGAAAATCCTGATATTAATCCATGCACCTATGATCACCTGATTTTTGACAAAACAGCTAAAATTATACAATGGGGCGAGGACAGCATCTTCAACAAATGGTACTGGCACAATTGGATGAGGGTGTGTAGAAGACTGCAGATAGACCCATGTCTGTCGCCATGCACAAAACTCAAGTCCAAATGGATCAAAGACCTCAACATCAATCCAGCCACATTGAACCTATTAGAAGAGAAAGTAGGAGGTACCCTTGAACAAATTAGTTTAGGAGACCACTTTTTGAACATAACTCCAGGGGCACAGACACTGAGAGAAACAATTAATAAATGGGACCTCTTCAAACTTAGAAGCTTCTGTAAGGCAAAGGACACAGTGGACAAGACCAAACGTCAGCCCACAGACTGGGAAAAGATTTTCACCTATCCTATACTGACAAAGGGCTGATCTCCAAAATATACAAAGGACTCAAGAAACTAGTCAATAAAACACCAAATAACCCTATTAAAAAATGGGGTACAGAACTGAAGAAAGAATTCTCAATGGAGGAAATCATAAAGGCTGGAAGACACTTAAGAAAATACTCCACATCCTTAGCTATCAGGGAAATACAAATCGAAACAACTTTGAGATACCATCTTACCCCTGCCAGAATGGCTAAAATTAGAAACACCAGTGATGACTTATGTTGGAGAGGATGTGGAGAAAGGGAAACACTCCTCCAGTGCTGGTGGGAGTACAAACTCATACAGCCATTTTGGAGATCAGTATGGCGGTTCCTCAGGAAAATGGGAATTAGTTTACCACAGAACCCGGCAATCCCTCTTAGGCATATACCCAAAGGATTCACATCCATGCCTCTATCATTTTTATGAGGATAATTTTTAAGTTCTTTCCTTCTGCTTCATTGGCTTGTTGCATTCCGGTCTACTTGGTGTAGATTCCATAGATTCTGGTGGTGTCATGCTTGTCTTTCTGTGTTTAGGTGTTTACTTGTATTGATGTCTTCCCATAGCTTCTTCCAGTAGGTGTTGGTGGGGGTCTCTCCCTCTCTCTATGGTACTTCATGATGGGCTTGGGTGGGTCAGAGGTTCGATATCTGTAGCTCTGGGTGTCCCAAGGTCTCTAGGAGGTCTTTCCACAGGCAGGGGCCCGATGGGGGTCAGTGGTCAGGCTCCTCTAGAAGACTGGCGATGGGGGATCACAGATCCCGAAGGCTGGGACTCACCAAGTTCCTTGTGTCTATAGGCATATCTAGCCTGGGCCTGGCACTCTCTACCTGATGCCTCTTTAGCAGAGTGCCTGTGATGGGGGTCAAGCATCCTGCAGGCAGGAACTCAGAGTGGTCCTTCAGAGATAGGCAGATATCTGCAAGGTGCCCGGAACTCCAGTAGAGGACCAGCAGTGGGGGGTCAGAGACCAGGCAGGTGGAAATTACAGGAGGTCCCAGGTGGATAGACAGGTCTTGTGTGTTCAGAGCCACTCTAGAAGTTCCCAGAAGGTGTCTGGATTGTTGGCTCCACCCTCTGTCCCAGTGTTCAACCAGAGAGGTGGGACAGTGGGCAGGTTAGGGCACAGGGTAAAGGGAGGGCAGGCTCTCGGTGGGGGTAGGTGGGGGTGTATCAGAGCTCCAAGAGTGCTCTAGATGGGGACAGGACACTGGGGCAGGGGAATCAGGGGCCAACCCAGGGAATTCCCAAGGAAGGGTGTAGGGGAGAGTCTACCTGAATTGGTCCCAGACTCACCTCTAGCCAAGGCCTGGCTATAGGGGACAAAGCTGGGCTGTTACTCAGAATGTGGAAAGTCATTTTCTAGGTATAAAAATGAATTGAATTTTATCAATGGCTTAGAAAAAAAGAGACATAAAATAATAACAACAACAACAAAATCAATGTCTGTGTTTCATCTGTCCATTTACAAATTTGTGTGTGACTTAAAAGATACTAACGTTGAAATGTCTGATAAGCTTTGGTGTTTTGTGTCCCAAATATTGTCATAACACCAACAATGTGCATCTTCAGGAAAAAAAAAAAACACAGTGAGGCACAGTGAGATTCATTGCCAACTCAGAGCCCTTAGGAAAACCATTGCATGTGGTCTAATCAATAACAGATGGATAATGACTAAGGGTTCTGTTGCTTATAAATGAAAAAGACAGGCTTTATTTTCCCCAAAGGCTTATAGCAGTAATGGCTTCAGCCATTAGGCAGGATTGTTAATCCCTGTAGCTAGAATGTGTATAGCATATGGTAAAATACTCACAATCATAGCATCTATTTATAAGAACAGTTAAGCCAGAGAATCCTATGCCTTCTTCATCTTTATTTTGCAAATATTAGCTTAATCAATAAAAATTTAATACTATCTACAAGAATATATGTATTGTTAAAATGTAAAATTCAAGTGAAGGTTCGCATATTCAGAAAGGCATGTCTAACATTACAGAAGTTCCCTTGAGATGCATGGACTATGGTTCTGGTTAATTTTTATGCATGTTTTAATTGCTACTTATTTGCAGTACTACTTTAATAAAAATAAATATGTTAGGGAGGTCCTATTTAGCAGCTAATGCACTGTCACCTCACATCATTGATTTGGTGACAATGTAAATGTGGATTCCATTTTCAGAGACATTCCATAAGACACTACAATCAATTTAATGTAGCACTCCAAACCTCCAATATATGGGGTGTCCCCCAAAGGGTTAAAATATATGTGAAATGCTGTTTTACAAGACGGAAGATAAACACTAATGAATGCACAGTCACTGTACTCACAAGTTGGTACCTGAAACCCTGCAGGAGATTGCTTAATGATGTACATTACATGAAGAGAAATTACTTTTTAATGTTAAAAGGTTATTTTTGAGTGAATCCTACATGGCTTGATTTCACTAGACTACTTCAATATGGAGGCATAATATTTGTATTTATTTTTTAATTGAGCTTCGGCAAGACCCAAATACCCTCCTGGTGACACAGAGATTATATTCTGCTCGCACTGTATCACCTTTGAAAGAACAAGGACAACAGACCATTCTGAGGCTGATCTATAAGCACTAAAAATTTCCATCTCTGTATGTGGTAGAATATTAAGGACTGGGGAATAGTGGACACAGAATTATAACTACACACCATGGATAGGAATATTTGCTAAATTGTACAAGCTCTGCTTTCTGTCAGGAAATGTTCAAAATCATCAGAGTATAAAAACGTTGAACCTCAGTCCATGAGAGTAGACAGAGTAGGAATGGTGATGATGTTTTTTCCTCTCCATGCTTGAGTAGTCTTGTTATCAATTGGTGCATTAATTCTGTCTGGCTCCTGGAAACAGTCATTTGCTTAATAGTTCTTTTGTGAGCAGGGAGTCTGACCCAGTCTCAAATGCCTCATCTCCCAGCAACAGTGGAGTTTATGCATAAGGGAAAATAAAATCTAACTTCATTTTTCACAAATAACATGAAGAAGGAAGTAGTCACAGCATGTGGCACTTTTCATTACAAGATGGAACAGTGTTTTCTTCTGATGCAGGTCAATGAGGAATAGAACATGTTTTTCCTGTGCAGGTGTCTCCCTGAGTTGGGGTAAATAAAGTAAATAATACAAGCAGGATATAAAATGTGCAGATTTGTTAATTTACTATGTGAAGTTTAGACAAATTCTAAGGCTGTATCATAATTTTGCAAATATCTATCATGGTATTATTACCAATAAATAATTAAATTATGTAGAAACACTAAGACAAATATCAAAGTTTTACTGTATTGATTGGCAGGTGATTAAACAGGAAGAACTGCACAAGGACCTTTCTGACTGTACTTTGTACGATCTGCTCAAGTATGATGACTTCAATGCTGATAAGCACCTGGCTCTTGAAGAATTCTATAGAGCATTTCGTGAGTACAGTCAAATTTTATTTCATTTTGCTCTTTTCTGTGTGTGTGTGTGTGTGTTGCTTTTTGCAATATGTTCTGTAAGCCTTATCCCAAAGTACAAGCTGTTTCTTAGAAGAAGTGTGGTAATGAAGAGAATTTAAGGTTTTGTTTCCTCCAGAACATATGCAAAGCTAGGGCCTTTTACCATTCCCAAATCATCCTTTGGCCACATTCTCTTCCCTGGGGTATCCTGGGTCTTGCTGACTTTGGTGTGAGAGACAGTTTGCAAAACTGCCTTTGTGGTTGCTCTGGAGGAGGAGCAACACTGTCCTGTAGTCACCATAAATCGAAAACAATTTAATTACTTATACATTGACATTTAGAACTTTTATTGGGGAAGCCTAAATGAATTAACAGATGAGTTACTGTACTTTCCAGGAGCTACTACACTTTAGAATTTTTCTTTCTTCCACTGGAATAAAGTATTACATTTGTGCTAAGGTACTACAGAAAAAGTTATATTTGTTTGAGTTGCTTAAATGTTTCCTAGAATGATTAACTGTCTTGTAATATATATGTGTGTGTTTGTGTGTGTGTGTGTGTGTGTGTGTGTGTGTGTCTGTGTGTGTGTGTATGTATGTATTAGTCAACATAAATTTTCTCTCAGACTATTATTTAAAAATAAGTTTAAGGACAAGGAAATATGAAGCCACAACAAAAACAATGAAAGAATAAAGAAACAAGTGGGTGCTTTCAAAGTACTAAAAAAGCATGTGACATTGAACAGGACAAATAAAAACAAAACATGAGACAGATATAGATTGCAGATAGACAGATACACTTTACAAAAAAGAAAAAGAAATGTGTTATACACATAATGTAAAGCAATTGTTTTGAATTTACCTGCTTCTATCTAAAAGTTGACTGCTTTGAGAGAGGTTACATTAAAATATTATTTCTATAGGCAGAAGGAATGACACATCATTTAAGAATACCTGATGCTTTTACAGAAAATCTGGGTTCAGTTTCCTCCATCTGTGTGAGATGACTCTATTGGATCCACTGGTTTCTTCTGGTCTTTGCAGGAACATGCATACATGCATACTCACACACAGACACTACACATACTCGTAAGTTTAAAAAGGTAACTGGAGGCTATAGATTTTAAGATAAGTTATAACAGTGTTCTTATAACTTAAACAAATTACATATTCTCTTAAATTACAAAGGGGAATTTACCAAGCAAGATGACTTAATAAGTGTTTGGTCCATTAAAAGGGTTTTCATGGAAGGCCTCACCCTTCCTGGGAAAAAGTAAAGGGATCCTATGGGGGACAGTGGGAGGCATGGGAGGATGGGAGGGGGAGAGAACGGTATTGATATGTAAAACAAAATTGTTTTCAACTTAAGTTAAAAAAGAAGAAAAATATAGATATATATAGATAAGCTGAGATTTATCAAAAAATAAAGTTCAAACTGATCTTCCATAGATCTCAACTTTGATTTGCAGCACCCCACACACAATAGCTCATAACTACACCCACACACACACACACACACACTCAAACACACACAATTTATATAACAAAATAATTCAAATTGTAGTTAAATGTAAATAAAAAGCTTATAGGCCAATACCCACTTATGAGTGAGTACATTCCATTTTATATTTCTGGGTCTGGGTTGCCACACTCAGGATAATTTTTCTAGGCCTATCCATTTGCCTCAAAATTTCATGATGCAATTATTTTTTGTTTTTCATTTTTTTTCTGCTGAGAAATACACCATTGTGTAAATGTACCCCATTTTCTGTATTCATTCTTTAGTTGAGGGCCATCTAGGCTGTTTCCTAGTTCGAGCTACTATGAATAACACTGCTATGAAAAATGTCTTTGGATATATGCCAAAGATTGATATGGCGGGGGGGGGGAGTCTTGAGATAGATTGATTACCAGTTTCTAAGAAACCACCATACTGATTTTCAAAGTAACTGTACACGTTTGCACTTCCACCAACAGTGGAGGAGTGTTTCCCTTGCTCCACATCTTATTTGACATGAGCTGTCATTAGTCATTCTGATAGGTGTAAGATAGTATCTCAGACTTGTTTGGAATTCTATTTCCTAGGTTACTAAAGACTTGCGCCAATCCTTAAATGTCTTTGAGTCATTTGAGATACTTGTGTTAAGAATTCTTTGTTTAGATCTATAACTAAATTTTAAAAATTGGATTATTTGGTGTTTTGACATCTAGTTTCTTGAATTCTTTATATATTTTGAATATCACCTCTCTGTCAGATGTGGGATTGGTGAAGATCTTTTCCCAGCATTCAGCTTTGTCCTTTTGACAGTGACATTTGCCTTATGGAAGTTTTTCAGTGTCAGGATGCCTCACTTATTAATTCTTAACTCCAGTGTCTGTGCTACTGTTGTTATATTTAGGAAATTGTCTCCTGTGCCAATGTGTTCAAAGCTACTTCCTAATTTCTCTTCTACCAGGTTTAGTATAACTGAATTTATGTTGATGTCTCTGATCTACTTGGACTTGAGTTTAGTGCAGGACAACAGATATGAATCTCTTTTCATCTTTCTATGAGCCAACATGCAGTATCCCAGCACCATTTGTTGAAGATGCTTTCTTTTTTTCCATTGCATAATTTTGGCTTCTTTGTCAAAAATCAGGTATTCATAGGTGAATGGATTCATGTCAGAGTCTTCCATTCTGTTCTATTGTCCACGTGTCTGTTTTATGCCAATGTCAAGTTATTTTTATTACTAAAGCTTTATAGTAGAGCTGGAAGTCAGTGATGGTGATACCAGAAGTTCTTTTAATAAGCAAGATTGTTTTAGCTACCATGATATTTTTGGTTTTCCATATGAATTTGAGTATTTTCCTTTCGAGGTATATTATCTGTAAAGTAGAAGATAACCAGGCTACAATCCATAGCCCCAGAGAAGCTAAAAAACAACAGTGGCCTAAATTTGGATGCATAAATTTCCCTAGGAAGGAGAAATATAAAAGATCTCCTGGGTAAACTGAGGGCAAGTAGGGTGGGGATGGGAACAGGAGAGATTGGGTTGGGCAGTTTTGTGATTCTCAATAAATTACCTAAAATCTAACTATTTTTTAAAATTACTACATTCACACTGCACAAAGAAAAAAAGACAGAAGTTTTAAATCTACTGACATAAGAATATGATTACATAAATCACTATAAATTAAAAATTAGAACCCGGAACATATTATTTTTCATTACTAAATTAGTATACTTGAGAATATACAGCTAGCCAGACAGCTACTAAATAAAAAATTATTTGGATACTGACATTCACAGTGTAAAGCATTAAGAACTTTACCAACAACACACTGACTCTAATCTAACCAAGAATCTAGCAAGGCACACACACATGCACTCTCTCCCTCTCTCTCTCTCTCTCTCTCTCTCTCTCTCTCTCTCTCTCTCTCTCGATCTATCTCACATACAAACACACACAGACAGGGAGAGAGAGCAGGATGAGAAATAAAGTGAAAGAGAGATAAATGAAGAGAGAGAAGGAGAAAGGCAGAGGGAACAAATAGGAAATATGTGTTAACATATATATTCCTTAATTAGATTAAGTGCAAAACATCTCCATTTCTGCTGTGCACAAAGACACAGGTGTCCCTTTTAGCTAAACTTGAAGGGAGATGCATTATTAAATAAGTGAAGACAGGCAACTTTCCAAGATCTTTCTATTCATGTCACTCATTTTCCTGATTGAATATCCTGATGAACATTTTCAGAACTTTCTTGAAATTTCTGAAACTCTGGACTGTTTTAATCTGTGCCTCTGATGCTTTTTCCCCCACAGAGAATCAGCTGAAATGTTTGTTATAATAGGAAGTAGACTGTTTTCTGATGTTAGAATACAATTTTAGTGGTTTACACCCCAACTGAATTTTATCATGAGTCTCTTACTCTTATAGTCACAGTAAAGAATCAGCTATACACAAAAATGAAATAGAAAATGTATTTTGTAAGGTGAATTAGTTTTGCAAATTAAACTAGATATAAGATATAAAAATGTGTTTGTGGAAAGATACCTCTGCCTTTTGGGACAATAGTTTAAAAGAGCATAGGTCTTGAGTAAAAGTCAATGAGAATGGAAAATGTTAAGGTAGGAAGGAGGGTAACAGTGACACTCACAAGATTAGTTCACTCCTGAGTTAAGAAGACAGTTTGGTGCACAAAGTATCATTTAAAAATTCTCAGCAAGAGAGAAGCAGTGTATCTTCAGGCTTAGAAAACATAAGTAAACTAGACTTCTTTAAACTAAAATAAACAAGTCCTAATCCCTTAGTAAAGAGCTGGGTAAAGTGGAACCATTGATTCATGCCTATAAATAAATATCTATACAAGGTAAGGACAATGAGATTCACATCAAAGAATAATAATAATGCTCATTTGTTGATTTTTTATTGGAATCTCAATAGAACCATTCAAAGGAACAAGTAAACTATATAATCATAAGATATATGCATTTGTATATGTGAGCTCAGTTACAAGTGGTAAAGGAAACAATGTCAATAATCTATACAGGATTCAGTAACATATACCATGTAAATGAGTCCCCACAAAACTACATAGTAAAGTTAATTTTAGGCTCATTAAAAAAAAATTAAATGAGAAGTGTTTTATAAGTAGAGTGGTACAGGTATACAATAATTTGTGATCCCTTTCACACATCCTTACACGTATTTAAAGCCGGTTATAGAACTCTTCCCTAATAATGTGAATTGTTATATAATTATCTTCAGTCAAAATTGCTATATTAAGCTCATGTGTAATTGTTTTATGCAACTTCCTGGTAACACATCTGAGAATGTCTTCAAAAGTCCCAAGAGTCAGTCACAAAGACATCGTGAACCATCTGTCTCATTCAGAAACTTCTTTTCAAAAGCAAACACTGGAGTCTCCACACGGATGCCCAATCCCTTTCATTTGTTACAGTTTAAATAGTCCTGTTCTGTGCCTTTTCCTAC